TAGGGAAACTTTCCATGGCGGAGGAGAAGAAGGACGACATGGATGTGGACCAGGATGTGTCCCTCTAAAGAGGGCGAGCCCGAGCCTCGGGATACTGCAAACCCGAGCAAGATGACCAACTTCTCGGGAGACGACCGGAGGCTCCTTCCCAAGAACACTCCGATCGAGATGGAGAAGTCCCTGCCTGCCAAAGCAGCGCTCCTGACCCCCAGGAGTGTGGCAACGCAAGCGGAGGCTGAGGAGGCCGAGAAGGCCGCGATGGAGGCTATCCGCGGGGACGCTAGGCTTCCTGACATTGGCCAGGAAGACAGGGAAACGGTTGATCCTCACACTGTGACGACTGAGGACTTGACGGTGTCGATAGACGCGTTGACGAGGAAGTTGAGCAACATGCCCGAATGGTCGGGTAACTTGCTTGACCCTGCGAAGTCTGCTGAGCTGGTTGCGGCCAGATGGGGCGGGAAGGCGAGCTATGACAAGCCTGAAGCTCCTCTTACCGAGGCTGGGATGAAGAGTGCATCGCTAGAGGATCGAGCTTATGCCCTCACGCAACTGAATGAGATGGTGAACTTCCATAAGAAGCATTTGTGCTTCGGACGAGGGGCGCCATCGTTAAGTGCGACCGCTCCCATCGAGCCCTTTGCGCCCGGCCAGATTGACACGAGCAGGAAATTCCGCCCGAGTGATGCGGCAAGCAAGATGACGTACAATCTCGCGGTTCTGGACGGGAAGAAGGACTATCTTGCCGATAGGCAGGCCATCAGTCCGGAACTGCGATCTGCCAGATTGTGGTCTCTACAAAGAGTAGGATGAGAGAGTACGTTCCGAACTACGACCAGACCGTGGCCACGATCGCAGGGCGGGAGGCCGCCCAGGCATTGATGAAGCTGCTCACATGTGATTTTGAAGGTTTGGTCATTAACTCGAAAAGAGTCTCGGAGTCATTCAAGGAGAAAGTGCTGAAGGACACTCCCGATAGGGCAGGTTGAGGTTATGCTCATGCTCATGTGTGATGAGAATGGCATGAGTTTCAGTTACGTGAGGCAAAGGTACACTCAAGAGGATGCCCCTGGCGGGTCTCTGATGTATGAGATGCACTGGGGTGAAATTCCTATGGTGGGATACGTTGTAAAGTTCTTGGACTTCAGGAAGGCGGTCCAGCTCCAAAAGGTGAGGCGGAATGGAAAGGCCATGATCGAGATATTGATCACAAGGCCCGATGAGTACGAATCGATTGGAGATGGGGCCGGATGAGGGCCTGGTTCCAATTGTGGAGACTATGAGACCAAATGCCGAGGTGTCGCCTTCATGGTACGTCAGGGACAGGCTGCGGAACTACTCGTGTAGGTACGTGGTGGTCATGGTGGACTTTCGAGTACATTGGTCGCTGATTGGACCTGTGTTTCTGACGAGGAGGAAGACTCTTGCCGTTCGGGACGAGATCCACATGGGTGCGTGGAAGGCTGCGTACATGTTCGATGATGACACGATAGTGTATCATCGGGCTTGGGACTACGGTGACTTCACTCCGAATAGGGGGATTCACAAGCGGACGCGTACGGAAGTCAGGTTGAATGTGACTAGCACAGATAACGCCATCTGGGATGCACTTGTGCCCTGGATGTGCACTCCGGGTCTTCTACCCGAACTTCATCCCCAACGCGGACGAAGGGACTTCGCGGGGAGCCGCATCGTCCCGGACTGGGTGAAGAGTATGGGACAGTTCAAGCCCAAGAGGATCGCCTCCGATGTGGTCGGGGTTATCAAGAGGAACTTGATTTCCTACTCGATGGCGTCTGACCTGAGGATGACAGTGCAGAGCGGCATCCGGTTGCCCCCTTATCTTGGGGAGGATAAGGGAGGAGTTGATGCGGCGTGGGATGAACTGGCAAAGGTGCTCTTTCAGTTTTCCTACGTGTCGGGGATTTCGGCCTCGGATGCATTCGTGGAGAAGTGGGTGGCGAAGCACCTGATCAAAACCAACCAAGTCGATAGATTTGAGTCGGTGACTGAGTACTTCCGAGCGAATCCGGTGCATGCGGCCCAGTGGGGAAGACGTATGACGACTTCCGTTAGGAAGTTCGCCCGTCATGACACGTATTTGTGCTTCTATATCCCGATGGCGTACGTGATTGGTGCTGCAGCGGGTCACCTGACTCCCATGTACCCGACCCATAGGAAGGATGCAGACATCCTGGCTAGCCATAGATTGATGGCGGACCTCAGGAACTACATGGTCTCGGCGACGGGTACGACGAGAAGAGAAGATTGAGGGAGGCGGTAGCCAAAGTGCAGAAGGCAATCAATGCTGGGCAATCAGAGCCTCCTGCCCCTTTCCGCGACCCATTCGTCTACGTTAGTGACGATAGGGTGAGGACGGTTCTTGATGGTCGTCAACCAGAGCCGTTGGATGTGAACGTTGACGAGCTCCAGTCAGTGCATCACGCTGCACAGGGTCCTGGTCCAAAACAGGAGCTGATCATTAAGGGCGGGAAAGGAAAAGGGAAGAAGGGTGAAAAGGGTGGTAAGGGCGATAGTCCTTCCGACCCACAACCAAAGTCAAGCGAGGTATCAGGAAAAGGATCTGGCAAGGGCGATAGTCCTGCCGTTCCGAAGGCGAAAGCCAAGGCCGACGCTGGGCCGGCTCCGATGGAGGTTGATGCACCTGCGGTTCAACCGAAGAAGACTTGGGTCGCGATAGCGGTTGAAGGAGCCCGGCCAAGTGCGAAGGCTAAGATGACTCCAGTCCCGAAGGCCGAGCCGAAGGGAAAGGCAGCTTCAGTTCCTGAGGCGAAGAGTGCTCAGGCTCCGAAGGCTGAGTCTAAGGAGACGAAGCATGCTGACCCGAAGGTTGAAGTCAAGAAGGAGAAGGTAAGCGGAGAGGACGCTCCCGGCGCTAGTCGAGGCTCGGCTGAGGGGCAGAAGAGAGAAAGGAAGTCCCGTTGGGATCCGGATGAGCCTGCGAAGGAGTCGACGAGGGAGGCATCAAAGAGACCTGATGATGTCGACAGCCGGCCAGGCGCGGCAGCGAGAGAGGTAAGTGGAGATGATCTTCACTCCGCGCTTGGTAGGTCTTCGGCAAAGGACGCGGTAGCGCCCTTGACAGCCTCAAAGACGATGGCGAAGAAGCCTGAAGGGGGTGAGGTCAGATTGCAGTCGGCGGAGCGAGCTGCTACGAGCTCGGTGGAGGGTCATTTCCTGGTGTTGCCGGAGAGTTCGGTGGTGGACGCCTTCCTGACGATGTCGCCCGATAGGGTGCTGAATAAGCAGGTCAGAGATTTCATCAGGAATGGTGAGAATGCTTCAGCACTGGAGGTTCTCAACCAGATCGTGACGAACTCTCGCCTCGGGAGAGGGCGTCGGGATTCGGATGTTTCCCGTACTCCTTCTCGGAGGTCCGTTAGGACTCTGGACACCAGGGATTCCCGAGAATCGAGAAGGCGCAGATATCGACCGCGGCGTGACGAAGATCGAGACCGGAGGAGGGACGATGTTCGAGATCGTCGTGATGATGATTCGCTCGATCGAGAGCGAGATCGAAGGCGAGATGATCGCAGGAGATCCGAGAGGGATCGTGACAGGGACCGTGCGCGGGGCGGACGTGACCGGAGGAGACGTGACGATAGCCGATAGGCTGACCACGGGGATTTCGGCCGATAGGCTTGCGTCCATTCTCCGATGGTCGGCGTTCCTTCCGGACCGCTGAGGCGCGGAGATCATGTCCCTCCCGTACCGCTGCTCGGCTGCTGGTCATGCTCATCATGAAGTAGTGTGGAAGCAAACTGGTGGAGGGTTCTCCCAGGTTTGCGGAATTCAAAGTATTTTTCAGGTGCGCATGGTCAGGGGTACCTCTTGCCGATAGGCGAGGGTACTGATGAACATACGTTATCCTTTGTTTCATGGCTTCTGATAAGAATTGAACTACTTGCATTGTTGATGCAAACAGTTGTGGCCTAGTGTCGTCATGTGGACTCTTCCACGAGGTATGTTGGACAGCGTTACCCCGATTAATTCGGGGTGGTGGCGGGAATTTAATGCCCGGGATGTCGCGCAACTGCCTTTGTGGGCTTGCTCCACCGCTGACGGCGGTAGTGTCCAGCTGTTTGCGAACGCGTGCGCAGTTACAGTAAATGGCACGCTCCACCCGTCATATGACGGGCTCCTCGTGAGGGGGGTGTGATTAGCCATGACTTAAACCATCACCAGGGATGTCGCGATAGTGACTGACCGGTGGTGTTTGGCTCAAGTTTTACGGGTTCCGTCGCGCCTCGGATGGGCGTCGCCGAACCCCTGCATCGACCGACGGCATCTCGGGGGAGAAAGAGACCTCGGGCCGCCGCCAGGTTGGTAGGGACCATTCGCGCGGCCTGTCGTCGATCAAGGTTGCGGGTTAACCCTTTTCTCTTTTGGTTGTTGTTCTCTGGTGTGTGGGAAACCCTGATCTTTGGGACCGGGGATTGGTTTGCTTTTGGGGAACCTTTCTTTTGTGGCTTGCTTACCCCAACTTACCCATTGCCTGGGCACAGGCTCGTGCCCGAATTACACAGAACAATCGTGTGGGCGGCACGTCGTATGTTTTCTTGCTGTGCCCTTGTGGAACGTTTGCATAGGCCTGCTGGCCCTGGCCTGAAATGAAATGGGCTCTATGCAAATGCTTTCCTCGGATTCCCGGTGTTTTACGCTCATATCATTTCTTCTGTGGTGGTCAAGGAAGCTGACAAGGTGCGCTCAACACAGGATATTCCAATGAATCTTCGCTGGCCATGGAACCTTGCAATACGCACCGGACACCACCTAACATCTACGGAAAAGGGTTCGAGCAACATGACAATGCTGAAGGCCTTGTGTCTTAGCACTTTCCGATTCCGCCGATTTAAAGCCTTTGGCTTGATCCAACTGCATTTGTTCGGCTTCTTTGCCAGGGTTTGTTACTTTCTTTTTTTCCTGTATTGTTCTCACTTTTCATTTATTTTTTTGATTCTGTTGATTTCTGCTTTCAGGCAGTGTCCAAGTGCTTCGTGGGCGTGGCGCCCAACCGCGAGGAGCTCTTCGCGCTGCCCAATGTCTGCACCGCCTTCATCTCCGAGGCACGAGCCGCTTGCGCCACTTGCGCCGCAAGAGTCCTCGTCGACAGTGTTCGCGCAGGCCTCTGGCCCAGATCGCCACTACCTGCCAGCGCAGGACATGCAACAAATCCGAAAGGTCGTCGAGGCTCGCTCTCGGTTTTTTTATGTGGCCCCAATTGTCCCCATGTGTTCCTCTCCATGTGTCCCCCGTGGGTGTTGTAGGTGTAGGGCGACAACTGCTCCGGCATGCAAGCATCAACTTGATCAGGGGCAAAAAGTCCCTTTGTCCACCGTGATCTGCATAAACGTGATTGCGCAATAAAGCACTTCAGCCCGCTCCATTCAAAGTTGAGACCAAAAAGCAAAGTTCTGAGAATGTCCAATCTTCACGTGTTGCAAGCATTTCAACGGAAGAACTGCGCTTTTGGTCTGGAGCAGCGACGTGTCAACTTTAGGGTGTAAGATGTTTGTGTGCAATCTTTCAAACATGGCTCAAACCAAAGCTGTCTGATCCCGAAATGATTTGCCCAGGGAACAACTCTGTGCTGGGTGTTGGGCGCCGTGAAGCGTTCCTTGCCGAGGCTGAGAGGAGACCAGTGCATTTCAGCAATGATATCTCAAGCGGGTGTGGTAGCTGTGTTGCCTCCCCCCCCTCACCCCCCCTGCCCCCCTGTGTCCCTTGCGCCTCCGTGTTCCCTGTGTTCCCTGTCTTCCCTGTGTCCACTGCGTCCGCTGCCTGTTCCTTGGAAAGTTGCCATTCGGGAAGCTTTCAGCCCGCAAGTCTCATTGAGTTTGTCATATCAATCACAGCCCTCGGGTCGGTTCAACCGAGCGAATCGAGCTTGCCAGCCAAAAAGGCGAAGTTGGAGGCCTACAACAATGAGCACGCCACCATGAACCTGGTCCTGTTTGATGACGCCGTATTCCATGTGTGTCGTCCGTGGCCGAGTTGGGTTTTCACTTGGCCACAATGCTGGCATTTGTGTTTTTGTTTTCTTCTTATTTTGGTGTCGATCCCTCGAGGCATTTGCCGGATCACGGGGAACCCGTGCGGCAGTGCGCTGCTGGTGGGCGTCGGGGGCTCCGGGAAGCAGTCGCTGGCCCGACTCGCCAGCTTTATCAATGGCCAGGAGACGACAACGATGGGAGAGAGAGAGAGAGAGAGAGAGAGAGAGAGAGAGAGAGAGAGAGAGAGAGAGAGAGAGAGAGGGAGAGAGGGAGAGAGGGAGGCATTTTAGATTTAGCCTTGCAATCCAGGCGCCGCCAAAGCCGTATTTTGGCACTTTTCGGTGTGCGCGTGTTTGTCGTGTTACTTTGTTGTTTGTTTGTTTATTTCCTTTTTAGTTTGTTTGGCACTTTGGTTGTTTGTATGCTGAGCGCCCTGCGTGTGCGCCCGCGCCCTCGCACGCGCGCGCACAAGTTTATGCATTGCTTCATACAGGCGGGCAGGCGGGCAGGCGGGCGTGCGAGTTCTGGCTTAGTTGTGTTTGCGTGTTGGCGTGCCTGCACACATGCCGAATGCTTACTCCTCTTGCACTAGAAGATGGTTCAGGCACAGTAGAGTAACGTCATTATTTCTCTGTGTCTCTTCAGGAAGTGCTCACGATCTTGGTGAATCAGCAGTATGGCCTCAACGAACTGAAAGCTGATCTGCAGGACATCTTGCAGCATGCTTTGGGTGTAGGCGTTTCTCCTGAGCCATCAGGAGTTTTACAAGAAGGCTGCTGTGAAGCCTGCGAACCCCCAGGTGCAGCTGTGGGCTTTGCATGGCTTTGCTTGATGTGCCGCGTGTGTTTCGCAGGCGTTTCTTCTCACGGACAGCCAGATCACAGATGAGCGTTTCCTCGTCTTCATCAATGTGCCCCAGAATGCAGACCCGCGCGGAGGGCTGGGGAGGCTTCCTGGACGTTTGTTGGGACTTGTCAAGGCGGTCTTGTCAAAGGGGGGTTCTTCGTGCTTGCCAAGGGTGGAGGGGGGGGCCATATTCTGAATTGAGGCGCAAGTACTTTGGAGGTAGCGGGTTTTTTTTCTCCCCCGGGTGTTGTTTTTCTGTTTTTGGATGTTCAGAGAACCTCTAGCGCTCCTCTGGTGCTCTCTTGGAGTTTTTGGATGTTCGGTGTTGTTCTTCTAGTGCTCTCTTGCGCTCCTGTGGCACTTTACTATGCTCATCTAGTGCTCCTCCAGTGGTCTCTCAGTGCTCTTCTCCTTTGCTCCTCCGGTTTTCCTCCATTGCTCAGCTAGTGCTCCTCCGGTACTCCACTTGCGCTTTGCTAGTGACCATCTATAAGTGTCTGCGCGTGTTCTACTGCTCTTCGACTGCTGCTCGCGAGATCTCTCTAGTGCTGATGCTCTGGTGCTTTTGTAGCACTCTTCTAGAGTCTTCCCGTAGTCTTCCAGAGTGCTCCTCTCGCGCTCTTCCAGCGCTCCCTCTACTGCTCTAGTGCTCCTCTAGCGGCCACAAGATGTACCACTCGGTTCGGAGTTGCCGGGCCGTTGTTCAAAGGCAACTTCTCCGGGGTGGTTTCCGGTTTCCATCCAAGAACGAGAGACACGAGAGCACTAGAGAAGCACTAGCCGGGCGCCACCGAAGCGGCAGAGAGCGCACTAGAGACGCGCGAGAAGAGCGCTAGAGCAGCCCTACAGGAGTGTTATCCTCTAGTGTGGCGCTCTGGTGCGTTTTTCAATCAGACCTGAAGATTGAGATGTTCGGAGTGCAGGTTTTCCAAAACAGTTTGAGATTTGATTAGGAGCGGATTCTGAAGCCGCTTTGGACTCGAGCGCACAGACAAAAGTGCGCCGGACTGATAGCCAGATTCACAGGTTATGAGCCCAAGTCACGCGGTGTGACACTGGCGCCATGGATGGCGCTGACTCAGGGAGCCACCCTGGAGAACAACGGAAAGGGAACCGGAGGCCGAGTCGGCCCAGTGGTGGAGGAGGTGGAGGAACCTGCCTTGATAGCCAGGCCGGATGGGTTGATTGAGGCGGCAGCTTCGACCCAATGGCTTGGAGGGCCGCAGGGGGAGCCATCGTCGTGGGCCGGCAGAGAACGAGCTGTTCACTCCGGAGCAGATGAGAAGGTTGGATGAGTGGACAGCCGAAGCTCCGCTCATTCACGCAACAGGAGCTGCAACAGGCCATGGAGGTTTTGAGGGCTACATCCAGCGGTCCAATGAGGGCATGCAGGTGGAAAGGCAGTTGGCGCTGGCAGCACAACAACTTGCTCTACCAGGACCAGCGGGAGATGCCGAAGGCCCACGGCCTGCTCAACGGCAAGAACTGGGGCCGCAGCTGGTACTTCTTGGACCTGGGGGACATCTTGAAGGCTCACGGCTTGCTCAATGGCAAGATCAAGGAACACGGCAACAGCCGGGACTACCTGAACCAGGACGGCATGCTCAATGGCCAGATCCGATGCAGGAGATGCGCTACTACATGGCACAGATCCTGGCGGATAACCGGAGGCTGCACCAGGAGGTGGGTCAATGTCTCAGCCAAGTCCAGGACATGCAGCAGAACTGGAAACCGCCGGAGGTGGAAGCTACTCGAGGAGGTGATCAGAGTGACAGGTTTGCCACGCCTGAGGAACATGGAACCCCAGAAGGCCGTGGAACTCGAGGTGAACCTGCTGATCCTGAGGAAGAATCCTCGGAGCTGCGTGAGGACGAGCCGACGGGCCCGAAGGACAAGTCCCTGGACATCATGCTGAAGATCGTGCAGGGCATGCAGAACATGCAGCAGCAGATGCTGGACACCAAGAAAAAGGTGGACCACGGCGATGACACGAGCGAGACGGTGAAGAATGTCACTACGGATTTGCCGAAGCTCGTGGAGTATAAGCCGGAGAGTGCTCCCATCGACCTGGGAGACTGGATTTGCGTCCTGGAGCCGATCATGGCGGACCTCAGTGAATCGTCACAGCAATGGTGGCAGAAAGTGGTGGAATCGGCGAGGAGGTGGTACGGAAGGTATCAGACAACGCCGCCGCTGGAACGACTCAAGCTGCAGCCGAAGGACCCTCCGGAGCTTCAAGAACCGACATGGCGGAGGCTGGAGAGGCGGGCTGTGGGGCTACTTCTTCGCGCTCTTCCTGACGGAGCTCGTGAAGAGATGGTGGCAACGAAGTCCATGACTTGCTATGCGATACTGTGCAAGCTCATGGCGAGCTACCAGCCGGGAGGACTGGTGGAGAAATCGGTCATCCTGAAGAACTTGGAAAGTCCCCCGGAGGTGGACTCCGTGGCGTCGCTGGTGGTTGGGTTGAGGAAATGGATGAGGTGGAAGCAGAGGGCACAGGAACTTGGGGTGACCATTCCGGACCCCACGGTCCTGGCCCGCTCCCTCAGCAAGATGGTGGTAGAGATGCAGCCGGAGCTCTCGTTCAAGATGGCACTGGCGAGGAACTCGCTCCAGCTGGACTCCATCCCCTCTCACGAGGCAGTGGAGAAGTACGCAGAGCACGTTCTGTCGGAGGTGGAAGCGATCGCCCACTTGGAGAAGGAGGTCAAGGCCCCAGCGGGGAAGGCGCAGGCCACGGACACCCGGATCAAGAAGGCAGAGGCCGTCGACTCCAAGAATGAGGTGAAGAGCGCTGGAGAAGGTGGGAAACCATGCAAGTTTTTCCTCACCGAGAAGGGCTGCAGGAGAGGACGTGGCTGCCGTTGGAGCCATGACCAGAAGGATGAACGCATGAGATGCTGGTCGTGCGGGGCGAGCGAGCATATGCGAAAGGACTGCCCCGTGGCGGTCAAGAGCAACGTGGACCGAAAGCCGAAGGCGGCGAAGGTCAACGCGGAGGAGGAACCGAAGAAGGACGTCGGGACGGAGAACCAGAAGGTTACAACTCCGAGGGCGTCTACGTCGGCAACGGTGCAAGAGGATTCCCCGGGAGCGGCGAGTTCGGCATCGGGCGACAAGGAGACGGACGCAATGAAGGACGTGCTCCAGGAGGCGACCAAAATGCTCAGGAGCATCAACGTCAAGACCGGCAAGAACGGACCGGAGGACGACGAGAAGAAGCTGATGGAGCTGCAGAAGCAGCTGGACGGCATGCGAGAAAAGATGCGGGTTCGACAGGTGAGGTTGTCGAAGATGGAGATCGGTGGGATGCGCGGACTGGTGGATTCAGGAGCAACGCACCCGCTGAGACCCATGATGAAGGGCGAGGACACCTCGGACTATGAGGAGAAGACCGTAGAGTTGGCGGCTGGAGAGACCTACCGCCTGAAGGTCACCTCGGGAGGAACCCTGGTTGCGGAAGACGAGCGGATACAGCCGATCATCCCCATGGGAATGCTCACGAAGGACTTGAATTGCCAGGTCAAGTGGAGCGGGAAGACATGTGCGGTGGTGCACCCTGGACGAGGACGTCTACCGGTGGTGATGAGTCAAGGCTGCCCGGAGTTGCCGAGAGAACTGGCCCTCAACTTGATCCAGGAGCTCGAGGGGGTGAACCGCTACAGGGTCAAGGCGATGTCAAAGCGGGATGAGGTGGACTTCATCAAGCAGGTGGTGGAGACGCACCCGGTGTTCGACGGTGTGCCGGGGGCGATCAAGGAAAAGTTGATGGTCAACCCGGCGGAGGACTGGAAACCTCTGGGATTGAACAGGAGCCGGAGGAGAAGGCTTGAGAAGAAGGGAGGTGCGATTGTGCACTTGTTTGCAGGCCCGGAGGAGGGATTTGATTTGTCCCGAGCTTACAAAGAGCAAGGAGGTGATCCAAGGACATCCTGGAGTATGACATCCTCCGTGACAACAGCCACGACCTCATGGACGACGAGCTCATGGGTGGCTTGGTGCGGCTGGCTTTGGATGACCGAATCAAGGCAGTGGTGGGGGGCCCGAATTGCAGGACGCGATCAGTGCTGCGGTTCTTCCCCTTGCTCAACAGGGCCAAACCGCGACCGGTGAGAACGGTGGAATATCCCTGGGGATTGCCGGGGATGGACCAAGGAGAAGAAGCCATCGTCTACGAGGATGACGTGCTCATGTTCCGTTTCATCCTGGTCTACTTGCTGGCAGACCTCACGGCAAAGGCCAGAGAGGAGAAAGGGGGCGCGGTGGAGTTCTTCCTGGAGCAACCGGCAGAGCCGCAGACGGAGCCGAGGTGTGCATCGTGGTGGCGGACACCGGAGTGGGAAGCCCTGGAGAAGCTCCACGAGCTCAAGAAGGTGACGTTCTTGCAAGGTGACTGGGGTGGGCGAGCGGCGAAGCCTACAACGATCGGGACCACCATGGACTTCAGAGGCCCCGAGAAAGGCATCTGCAAGCTACATCAAGGAGGTCATCAAGGGCAAGAACAGGAGACGGACAAGCCGAGGTGGATGATGACGGATGAGGAGAAGCTCAGCTCCTCGAAGGCGTTGGCTCGATGGGCCCCTGGGATGATGCGGGAGCTCGCCAGATGCCTTCGGAAGGAGGTGGACGGTGAGTCGAGAACGAAAGTGAAGGCCCTGTCGTGGGAGGAGCATGTGAAGTTGGGGCACCTGCCGTTTCGGCGGGACTGCCGAGTTTGTCAGGAAGCCTCAGCCAAGGACAGGCCACATCGAAGGGTGCGACATCCAGCCGGGAATGTCCTCTCAGTGGATTTGAGTGGGCCGTTCATCAAGGGCATCGATGTGGATGGAGTCCAAGACCGAAGGTACCTGCTCGTGGCTGCGTTCACATGGCCACAGATCCACACCGAAGAAGGTGAGGAACTTCGAGAAGATCTACTACCGGTGGAGGAACAGGTGGATCAGGACGAGCAGGAGGAAGAAGAAGGCTTCATTGTGGAAGGAGCCCGAGAGGAGGACGAGCAGCCGGTGATTCCGGAAATCCAGAAGGAACCGCACCCGCTGAAGACGTTGTACATGACGGTCCCGCTGAAGTCCAAGGACAAGCGAGAGGTCTTGGCGGCGATCCAGGAGGTCTATATCAGACTGAGGAGAGAGGGCCACCTGGTGCTGAGACTGCACTCAGATAAAGGAGGCGAGTTCATGAGCAAAGAACTAGCCAGCTGGTGCCGACTGAGGGACATTAGAAAGTCCACCAGGACACCGGATCAGATGCAGGAGAACGGAAGGGCAGAGGCCGCAGTTGGGGTCGTAAAATCCATGGTGAGGAGGGTGCTGATAGCATCACGATGGGAATCGAAGTGGTGGCCCTGCATCGCCCGCTACGTCTCGGAGGTGCGCTTCAAGTTTGACCAGACCGGAGACCATCCGAAGTATCAGTTCGGAGAGGAGGTGGTGGTGCCGAAGAGAGCTTGGAAGCAGAAATCCTTTGAGGCGAAGAATCAGCGAGGCAAGTACCTGGCCCCGCTCTATGACATCACCCACGGTCACGCGGTGAAGCTGGACTGTGACAACAAGGTGGTGGCGGTGTCGAAGGTTCTCTCAGGCTTGCGAGAAGGGGAAGCCCCGAGAGCAGAAGGACAGGAGGAGGAAGAGAATCCTGATGGGGAAGCTCTGTTCGATGAAGCTCTGCGTGTGAGAAGACGGTTGAGGATGAAGACGAGCGATCCGAGAAGGATGGACGATGGAGGAGGTGAGAAGGTTGCGGAGCGGATTCGATTGTTGCGGAACCTCATCGTGGAGGAGGAAGAAAGGATGTTGGAAGATGGAGAAAACGCAGCTGAGGTCACCTTCAAGATGGTGAGGAAGCTGAAGGAAGAAGAGGAGAACCTGAAGCAGACCGTGCCGGACCACAAGGAGGCAGAGAAGGTCTTGCATACAAAGATGGTCTCCACGAATGAGGTGATCGCGGACAAGGAAGCCTGGGCAACGTCGATCAAGATGGAGCTGGATTCTCTGATGACAGAGAAGAAGGCGTTGCGGCGATTGGCTCCTGGGGAAGCCGCGAAGTTGATCAAGGAGAAGGGCAACAAGCTGACCGTGGTCCCGGGCAAGGCCATCTTCAGTGTGAAAGCGGGAAGTTCGCGGCGGAAGACCAGGTTGGTGGTGTGCGGGAACTACGTCGCCCAGAACTCGGAGGCGGAAGGAGACACCTTTGCGGGCGGTACGGACATCGCGGCGATCCGCTTGCAGGTGAAGGTCGCCATGGAGAGGAAATGGACGATGTCCGCGTTGGACATTAAGTCTGCCTTCCTCAATGCAGATCTGCGTGGGGAAAAGGAGCCGGAGCACCTGGTGGCGATGCGGCCGCCGGCGATCATGGTCAGAATGGGCTACGCAGAGCCCGGAGAACTATGGCTGATAGACAAGGCCATGTATGGGCTTCGCCAAAGCCCGAGAAGGTGGTCAGACCACCGAGACGCGGAGCTCGTGACGGTCCAGTGGGAGGTCGACGGCGCCTACTACAAGTTGGATCAGTGTGCTGCAGAACAGAATTTGTGGCGCATCCTGGAAATCCGAGGCGCGGAGGAGATCTTGGCGGGACTGGTCACTATCTACGTTGATGATGTCCTCACTGCGGCGGAGGAGGCCGTGCGAGAAAGGTTTGAGGCCATCATTGCGCAGAAATGGGAGACGAGCGTGCCGGAGGTGTTGAAGACCGGGAATCAGATTCGATTTCTGGGAATGAACTTGAAAAAGGAGGAGAATGGAATCTTCCTGCACCAGCAGGACTACGTGGAGGAACTGCTGACCCGGCACAAGGACGAGGTGAAGAAGGCGAAGGCGCCCATGTCCAAGGAGATGGCGGATGAGGCGGAGGAGACGATCGGCAACCACACGATGACGGATCTTGCAAGAGCACAGAAGGTGACGGGCGAGATCTTGTGGTTGATGACGAGAACACGGCCCGACCTCCTCTACAGTATGAGCCGACTATGCAGCATGGTGTCGAGAAGTGGGTCATCAGAGCTGCGGGCTATATCCTGGGCTACCTGGACTCGACGAAGGACTGGGGGCTGTGGGTGTCTGGAGAATCTGGACGGCGTTGGAGCGGCCATGGAGCAGCAGGACTTCAGGCATACGCTGATGCCTCCTTCGCCCCACTTGGGGAAAGAAGCCAAGGATGCTCCCTGGTGTCGTGGAACGGCACGGTCATCGCGTGGAAGGCAGGGAAGCAAGCATTTCCGGCCTTATCCACGGCGGAATGTGAGTTGATCGAGGCCATCGACAGCGTGATCCTTGGGGACAGCGTTGAAGCGCTGATCACGGACATATTGGGGCTGGACGACTTCAAGAAGATGCTGCTGTCTGACAATGCAGCAGCGGTGGCGATAGCCACGGACGTGACGGGATCCTGGCGAACGCGGCATCTTCGGCTTCGAGCGTTTCATCTTCGGTGGCGAATCAGAGCCGGGGATTGGGAGTTGCGCCATTGCCCTGGACAACAGATGTTGGCTGATCTTGGCACAAAGCCACTGGGCCCAGCGAGGGTCAAGGAGCTGTGTGCCTTGTGGAATCTGAAGGCCATGCGAGAAGAGGATGAACAAAGCAGGCTGAACAAGGCCGTGGTAATGCAGCCGGAGGTGGACAAGTGGATCAAGCTGCTGGTGATCTTGATCATGATCACAGGATGCCGAGCTCAAGGGAATCAACAGCCGGAGGAGGAGAAGATTGACCTTGCGGTGGTGGTCTTGGTGATCGCAGTGGTGGCGATTGTGGTGTACCGCTTGGTCCACGAGGTGGCATCGGACATCTGTCTGAAGGTGAGAAGATTGAGAGTGAGAGGTGTGGAGCAGAGCACCCAGACGGAAAGTGAGGAAAGGTGCCGAGGACACAGAGCTCTTCGGCGGCCAGGTCTTCCAGCTCGGGAAGCGGGAATCCCTCAAGGGCAAGTTCAATGAGGAGGCGCCGAGGGGGAGACGCTGATCGAGCAGAACAGCCAGTTGCAGAGCAACCTCAGCCGAGGCCAGTGGAACCGGATGCGGAGGACGAACGCTTGAATGCACGCTGGCGGGAGGAGTTGCGGGTGATGGAGCAGCTTCGGTGGCGGGAGTTGCAACCGGAGCCCGAAGCGGTCGAGGTATATCACTTGACCGGAATGGGCGACAAGATTCATTGGCGCCGCAACTGTTATGGGTTGCGAAATGCCACAGTTCGCGGAATGCGGGCGGTTTTGCCTTGTTCCAGATGCTGGATGGGAGGAGACAGGCAGCGAGTTCGTGGGGCCAGGAGCTGGAGAGGAGATGACGGCTTCTTGCACGCGTCGATTCACTGCGCCGGCATTGGGCAGGCTCCACTTCGACCCTTGCAGCCATGCAGTTTCTGCCAGGGAGGAGTGACCCAGGACAATGAAGAGATGATGAGGGACGCGGGCCGGTTTCCGCGTGGACTTCTATGAGCGGCTTGAGCTGAACACGTTCTTCGGATGACGTGAGAGGCTCGCAAGGCAGCACAGACTGCCGACTTTTGTCACACAAAGGGGAGGAGTGCAGGTTTTCCAAAACAGTTTGAGATTTGATTAGGAGCGGATTCTGAAGCCGCTTTGGACTCGAGCGCACAGACAAAAGTGCGCCGGACTGATAGCCAGATTCACACGGAGAACCTCTAGTGCTCTAGTGCTGCTCCAGTGCTCCTCTAGTAATCTGTGGCATCTAGTGCTTCTCTAGCACTCATCTCTGGTCTCCTCTCGTGCTGTTGGTTGCTCCTCTAGTGCTCGTACTGCCAGCGCTCTGGTGCTCCCTAGAGCTCTTCAAGTGCTCCGCTGGCTCCTGCTCTTGCACAGAGCCAACCCGAAGCCAACCACAAGCCGAACCTAAACCGTGCTTCTCCGGTGCTCCTCTAGTGCTCTCAAGTGCTCCTTTGGCGCTCTTCTTGCTCAACTACTAGTGCCACTGGTCTTCCAGTGATCCTCTAGCACTCCTGCAGCGCACTTCTCTGTGATCTTTAGTGCTCCTGCGGTTACTCTTTGAGGCTACTGCTCCTCTACTGCTCTTCAGTGCTACTCCAGCATGGTCCTTCAGTGCTCTTCTCTCTTGTAAGTGCTGCTCTGGCGCTCATCAAGTGCTTGTCTAGTGCTCCTCCAACACTTCTTTGCGCTTTTCTCCTCCAAGCACTACGAAAAAAGCTATGCTGCCAGAGCGCACGCCAACAAAAGCCGTGGCCTGGCGAAGGACTCGCTTTTCTCGCAATGTCGGCCACTTCTTTGGTGTTCCTTTGGTCTTCTCTTCTAGAGCTCCTCGAGTGCTCCTCGAGTGCTCCTCGAGTGCTCCTCGAGTGCTCCTCGAGTGCTCCTCGAGTGCTCCTCGAGTGCTCCTCTGCTCCTCGAGTGCTCCTCGAGTGCTCCTCGAGTGCTCCTCGAGTGCTCCTCGAGTGCTCCTCGAGTGCTCCTCGAGTGCTCCTCGAGTGCTCCTCGAGTGCTCCTCAAGCTCCTTTAGTCCTCGTGCTCTTCTAGACAGATAGATATAGATAGATAGATGGATAGAGGTGTAGGTTGGCAGGTAGATTGAAAGATAGAGTTAATGAAAGGATAGATTCATAGACAGATAGATAGGTAGAGGTAGATAGAGATAGATAGAGATATGTAGATTGGTAGATAGCTAGATCGAGAGACAAGATAGAGATTAGATTTCTTAGATAGACAGTTAGCTAGTTAGACAGCTAGATTGATAGATACAGAGATACAGGGATAGCGATAGAGAGAAAGAAAGAAAAGAAACTTTAGAGCCTCCGGCTCACTCCGCCGACATTGTCCTCTCCCTTTTCTCCTTCTTCATCTCTCCCTTGTCTCCCTTGTGTGTTCTGTTGTCCTCCCTCCGCTCCCGATCCTCCCCATCCCCCCAAGCCTCTCTCTCCTCCATCTCCCTCTCTGTCTGTCTCTATCTCTCTCTCTCTCTCTCTCTCTCTCCCTGTCTCCTTCCTGTCCTTACCCCTCTACAGAAAAAGGGTACCCTCGTTCGAACCTCTCTACTGGAGGACCTAGTCTCTCTCTCTCTCTCTCCCTCTCTCTCTCTCTCTCTCTCTTTCTCGCGCTTCTCTCTGTCTCTCTCTCTCTCTGTCTTTCTGTGTCTCTCTTTGTCTGTCTCTCTCTTTCTCTCTCTCTCTCTACCTGTCTCTTTCTCTGTCTCTTTCTCTGACTCTAGCTCTGTCTCTGCCCCTCTCTCTCTCTCTCTCTCTCTCTTTCTCGCTCTCTGTGTCTCTCTCTCTCGCTCTCTCTCTCTCTCTCTCTCTCTCTCTCTCTCTCTCTCTCTCTCTCTCTCTCTCTCTCTTTCCCTCTCTATCTCTCTCCCGCTCTCTCCCTGTCTCTCTCTCTCTCTCTGCGTTGCAGCGTCACGTCCCCCCTGAGTCTCGATGTCCGGGCACTGCCCCTTCACGACCCTGAACTGTCATCGCACTACTGGCTTTCCCCTTGATTTCCCCTTCATGTGCATGTATGAATGAATGTATGTATGTATGTATGGATGTATGTATGTATGTATGTATGTATGTATGTATGTGTTAAAACCCTCTAGGCCCCGTGCCGAAATTGGGTAGCAGTTCTGAGGTCCTTGTTGGTGTTGCTTCCCAAGTTCCATTGATCGCCATTTGGCTCAAGACACAATTGAGGTTCAAGATCTGATGTGTGACTGCGGATATCCGTGATTGGCATTAGGAGGAAAACAACTGCCTTGCGCCGCACTGTCAGGACTACTGGTGTAACTATCATTCCTTCTTCCTTACAACGTTTACACGGGTTCGGCTATAACGGCATCGTCCGTATACACCTTTCTACGTGGTTGGTATTAAAGCTTGAGGGTTCGGTGCACAGCGTCCCACGGGACGTCACCTTGCCGTCTCTTGACAGGTTATCAGCCGTAACTACAAGCTCTACACTGGACTGGGAGACAGCTGGTTTATTGCGGGTACAGGGACAATAGAGGAACGATAACATACACAGTACAATGGCGTCTTCGGCGAGCCCAAGTACTGCAACTTTTGGGAACAGCAGCTCAGAGGGATCCAATGGATTGATGGCTCTTCCTGCGGTGATGGATATGGTTGCAGATTCACAGAATAACCTGGGAGCGGAGGTTCCGCGCTATTCAGCGACATATCTACTCCCACAAGATCATGGAAGCAGATCGATGTTCATCAGGAGTCGAAGAAAAGAGAATCCCCACCGAGAAGATCATCATCTTCGCCTGCGACACCACGGACGTCGCAGAAGGGCGTGAGATCGACATCGAAGGGTGGGAGGTCAAAATCACCCACCAGTGCAGATTTTCGCGCCGTGATCAAAGAGAAGAATAAGATGGAGGGGGAGATCGGGGAATATCAGAAGACACTTGATGAAATGTCGGCAGCAATGGCGAATCTTAACCAAGAAGACTATGGAAGCACCATCCGGATCCAGGAGCTGGAAAGACGATGCGAGATTGCCAGCAAGCAGTCGGGACATCTAGTGAGTCACCACCAACACCACATGGCTAAGGCATGGCGCAAGTTTGAGGAAGAAGCCCAACAGATGCGCAAGGTGGAAATGAACGCATTTCAGTACGGGGAGAAGAAAGACATGGAGTCGAATATTATAATGCAACAGGTGAGGCAAGCTGAAGGAACTATCATGGAGCAGAAGCGGGAGATTGCATTGATGAAATCCTACATGGCAAGCGAGAAGTCGGCCGCGCAGGAATCAGCTATACGAGCAAATCAGATACACCGTGAGGCTTCACAACAGATATCAGCTTATCAGCAACAGATCAGAGGCATAGAATCTTCTACATCTATCGAGAAGTTCAACGAGGAGGAGATGGTCCAAAGTCTGAAATCACAGTTGGAGCATGCACACGTCAAGCGCCCCGAGACGTACTCTTTGGAGGACTCCAGGGAACAGCTGATGGCGAGGCTGAATGACGTTACAGTATTTGCGGAACAGGAATCGAAGAGAGCAGATTGCTTGCTTCGCGAAAAGGAAGAGATCGTCAAACAGTATGAGTCCGACGTGTCGATGTAGGACCAGATGATTGCTGTCGAAGGTGGTCATCGTCAAGATGCGATCTTGGAGTTAGCCCAGGTCAAAGAAGAGAAACAAGAGGAACGGTGCACGATGGACGAGAAGTCGAAGGAGGCCGAGTACTGGAGACAGACAGCCAAGGGAGTGTACGATGAGTACCTCGAGGAGATGCATGAGCTTCAGGGACAACTGAAGGAAAGAGAGGCGACGCTCAAGCAAGAAGAGAGTTTTGTGCGCCAACTCGATGCTGACAACGAGGAACTACGTGCACACAAGAAGCTGGAGACACAGGAAGCCTCCAGCAGCAAAGATGGACATCTTGAACGAGCAGTAGTGAAACGCGCTGAGGGAGGAACCCAGGCTAATTCAAATAGGATAGACAAGAAGGTGGCTGGGTCAGTCCCGTCATCGTCTTCAAATCAAATCCCTAATTCGTCGCTGATGCCAGGTTCGATCCTCTTTCCGTCCTTCGGTGATCCAATGATCGATGTACACCTATCCCAGATGCAAGGGGTTGTTGGGCATGTCCCACAATCTACTACTACGACTGGTGGTGGTGATGGAGGGGGAAACAACGGTACTACGCCCCCATTGGATTACGGTGGATTCCCGCCCAATGGGAATGGGCAGGGAGCGGGTCGACATCAATTGAGCCTCGCTGGTGGCGGAGGAGGACCTCCGGATGATCCACCCGATGATGAGGATGAGGATGACGACGACGAAGGAGATGAAGAAGACGAGGAAGAAGAAGAGGAAGAAGACGATCGGACACGGAGGAGACGAAGGAGATCGAGAGATAACCGAGAGGTCAAGAACGACCGACCGAGAATCTCGAGGAAAGAGGCCGAAAGAGTATCTATTCCGGCCTGGCCAAAGATCCATCAACTTGACACCTGGAAGATGCAACTGCTGATGAATGTTCTGAGCGCATGTGCAGACCCAGATACCGACACATGGACGAAATGGCTGGAGCAGGCTCTTGGGTTGAACCCAGACCTGGATTTGCTTAGCGATTCAGGTGGCGACAGATTTGCTACGATAGATATTAAGATGGCCATGGGCATGCAGAACATGCTGGAACAAGCACCTGACGAAGCCAAGGACGTATACCTCGATGCTACACGACACTCTGAACTACGACATCAACAAGGGGTGATCGTGAAGGGACGAGAGTTGGTGGCATTGGTTATGCAATCATTCAGAACGTCCGATAGAACGGATCTTGTCTACCACATCGAGCATCTATTCAACCTAGACTTTCCTGGCGACAAGAACTTGGTCATGTTCAGGAACAAATGGTATGATTTGCTGCTGAAGATGAGGAGCGAGGACAGACCCAGTAAGCTGGCTCTCAGAGACATCCTTTACAGGAAGATCAAAGGGAGCAAGAAGATGGAGTTCGGCCTCAATGCCTACCATAGACTACCGGACAAGCATCCTCAGAAGACGTATGAATTCTTATTGGCGTTGATCGACAATCAGATCAAGGCAGATCGGGAAGACCTGATGCTCGACATGAAGGAGAAATCGGTCAAGTCGATGATGAAGTCAGGCGGGAAGGATGCGGCTCCAGCAACTTGCAAACAGGAGAACCAGGGTGGCAAGGGCAGAAAGGGGAAACCCGGTGGACCTGATGCCGCTCCTGTGCTCCCAAAAGCCAAGGCAAAGGGCCACGCTGGCAAGAACGGCAAGTCCGACGGTGCCAGCGACAGAGGCAAGAGTCCGGGCGGGAGCAAGGATAACCCCTGCTGGTA